GATAAGGTTAACCTAGTACTGTTCCTTATAGAGTAGTCATGAATGTTCGAAAATCTAGGAACTAATGATTGAAGACAAAGGAATACGAGTTTAGTCCAGGGGTGGTTGGCCACGGGCCGAACTGCATGGCGGGTAAATATTACGGAGACAATTCCGTTGTTGATTCCATTCAAGACATTGAATGCCGTCTAAAAGCCATTTACACTAAAGAAATTGAAGGAATTTTAATTCGTAGTCGGGCTGAATGGCTCGAAGAGGGAGAACGTTTCACCCGCTATTTTTTTTTCAAATAGTCTTCTTATGCACAGAAAAGTCACATGTCATCAATTTATGACTCATCTGGTGCTGAGGTTTCTTCTCAAAAAGAAATCGAACAAGCACATGTTGATTTCTGTTCCTCCTTGTTTCCAGAAGAGCCGATTGATTTGAATTTCCAAGACGATCTCTTGTCTTCACTTTCTTGTCAGCTTTCATCTCATCGGTCGTCATTGTGCGAAGGTGCAATGACGATTGATGAAATTTCTTTTGCCGTCAAGAATATGAACACAAACAAATCTCCCGGGCCCGACGGTTTAACCGTTGAATTTTATCGTAAGTTTTGGGATGTCTTATCACCTCACTCAAGTAATACTCACGTGACCTTTAAAAAGGGAGATCGGAAAACTCTTAAAAATTGGAGACCGTTTTCCCTTGTCAATGTTGATTACAAAATTTGTTCCAAAGCTATTTCTGTTCGACACTCTAAAGTCTTGGAATTCATTGTCGATCCTGACCAAACATGTTCTGTTTCTGGGCGGAAAATTTCGTCGAACCTTCATACTCTCAGATATTCTAGATTACATTGATCGGACTGGTGAAACTGGCATTTTAGTAAGTCTTGATCAGGAGAAGGCCTTCGATCGTGTTAATCGTACTTCTCTACAGAATCTTTTAACTCGTTTTGGATTTGGTGCCTCTTTTTGTCACTGGATCGATGCTTTTTATAATGGCGCTAATATGCGCGTGATCGTTGATGAACGGCTTACAGAGCCGATCCCTTTGTCTCGTGGAGTCTGCCAGGGAGATTCCCTCTCCCCGATGTTATATATTCTTTGCGTTGAAACTCTCGCGTGTAAAATTCGTTCGTGCTCTGGAATCGAAGGCTTTCTCCTGCCTGGTGCTAAAAGGCCTCAATATAAAGTAGGGGTTTATGCTGATGACACGACTAGTCTAGTTAAAAGTGTTCATTCTCTTGAAGCTCTTTTATTGTAATCAGAATTTGTGAGCGGGGATCTGGGGCCAAACTTAATGTCTCTAAAACGGAGGCCATGTGACTGGGTGCGTGGCGTTCACGCACTGATCAACCATTTGGCCTCACGTTGGTCTCAAAAATGAAAATCTTAGGAGTTGTCTTCGGACAAGCTGCAGAATCTGACAATTGGCAACCTAAACTTAAAAAGTTAGAAAATCATCGTAATTTATGGAAATCCCGTTCTTATCTGTCGTAGGTAAATCTTTGATTGTAAACGCATCAGGTATTAGTAAACTCTTATATCTTGCTTCTATTCTTTCTTTTCCTAAATGGGTTGCTACTGAAGTTATTAATTTAGTCTGGCCTTTCCTTTGGGGATGCCGAATTGAAACTACTTCGGCAGTCGTGTTATCAGTCTTTTCTGACGGGGGGCGGGGGGTGGGCTGGGTATAATTAATTTTAAGATAAAAGCGGATGCTTTAAAGTAGGCATCTATTATATGTAATTGTTTCAATGCCGATTCAAAGTCTTTTTACCTCACTAAGTATTTTTTTTGGTGCCAAGCTATCTTCTTTTCGATCGGAGTGGAGTTTCCTTCGAGATAACTCCTCTCCGAGCGCGCAATCTCTAACGCTTTTATGTGCGAATTGTCTTTCTGTTTTGACCAGTCTTCGCAAGATTCTATCCTGCCAAGACTGGCGTGATTTTGTTTTTACTTCTAAAAAATGCTATTCTATCCTCAAGGAAAAATCGTCCTCGCTTGTTATTCACCGTTATTGGGTTTCTTTTTTAATTATTGGTTTTAATTTGGATCGGCATTGGTCTCTTGTTCGTGACGGCTTTTGTGAGAATTTCAAGAATGTTCTGTTGTGGCTAATTATTCTGCGTGCGGCTAAAGTTCGTGACTCCACGAAAAATTGGGGTTACATTAACTCTGACTGCTGCGCGTCGTGCTCTCGAAAAGAAACAATCGATCACTGTTTCCTTAATTGTTCTCGCGTGAAGGCTGTTTGGTCACACTTCTCGCCTATTTTGTCTTGTCTTCTTGGTGCGACTTTCCTTCCTAAAGGCTGGTTTCCATATGATCGCAGACGATCGCAGACGATCGCGGATCGCAAATCGCAGATCGCTGTTCTCGAAGGCAGTAAAATAAACCCTGTAAAAATTTTGGGAAATGTAGAAGAGAGAGAGAGAGAGAGAGGTGGGTGCTTATTCGAGGTTGGTCCAATCGAATAAATACGGTAAAAATGATCCCCCAAAAACAAATATAAGGCTACGTAGTACGTTTAACGAGGATATTCTTTAAGGAGTGAAAAATTAAACTCTTTCTCCTTTACGAACATCTTACAGTATTTACCTGTCACAATAAGTTGAACCATATTCAGGTGGTCTTGACCTGCACCAGGCTCAACAGATAGTTTGCATTGAAATCGCGTGTTGTCTTGATGAGATACATTCTCGTCATTCTCGACGATAAGAGTAGCATTTTCTTTAATACTTACTCTTCCTTTTTAAGCAGAAGGTATGTTTGAAAAGTTCAAAACAGCACCATCTTTTGTTTTCGCAATTATGCCAACAAAAAGGACAACCCTAAAACACGGAATCCCGAAACCGGAAACTGGAACCGGAACCCGGAACCCGGAATCCGGAACCGGAAACCGGAATCCCTTTTACTCGGCCTCTTACTTTTCACAAGCGAAAGCTATGCAACGTATCATTCGCGTATTTGAAGAACTTGTTTTATTTGATTTGTGGATTCCGGTTTCCGGTTCCCGGTTGCCGAATTCTTGATTCCGGGTTCTGGATTCTGGACTCCAGCTTCTGGATTCCAGATTCTGGATTCCAGATTCTGGATTTCATGTTTTAGCGTTGTCCCTAGGGAAGCGCATGCACGCAGTCACGTAGTCGCCATATCGATTCGAAGTGTGTATGATTTCTGCAAAGCTGCATGTATTTTGACCCGCTAGCCTTCGAAAACAAGTAACTTAATCCGCGTTATCAGGAAAAAATGTGTTGTAGCTCGACGACGGCATGTCTTGCAGGGTCGCTGGTCAAAACTTTATTTTCCAAAGAAATAAGCTTATTTGTTACAAGTGATAGCGATCTGAAAGTGAATTCTTAGTGTCGCCAACAAGTGAAATGCCTTTCCTGGAAAATATTTTGTCCAATATAAGTTAATACTTAATTGAAAACACTTTTAACGCAGAGTTCAACTTCACGTGCAGATCATTATCTGTCAGTCGATCTATAGAGCAATTCGAACGCCACCAAAGTAGACCAAACATGCAAAGTACTCGCGTGAACGCACTGCTCTAATCTTTGATTACTACTAGTAGCTTTCTAAAAGTCTCCAAGTCAGCTTAGGAGTCACATTCCATCTGTGCTGTTATTGATCATGAATTTCGTCATAACGTTGTCAAAGTAGCTGTTGATCCACGAGGCAATAGCCGAGTGGATCCGCAGACTACTTACAGTAATAATAATAATAATAATAATAATAAGAATAATAAACAATATTTAAAGAGGAAGCGCCCGTCACGTAAATACGTGGTTTTCAGGGAGGTCCTCTAGACAATGTTATGACGAATTTCGTTGGTAACGTGGGCTCTGGGAACGAGATTGCGTGCAAAGCCGGGAAAGGGGGTACTTCCTTGTATGGGCTATATAGGTACCTGTCGCCCCAGAGGGTATGGTTTGTCAGCCGTTTTGGTCATCATGAAATAGAGCGTCGGTTTTGGCCATTTTGGTCATAAACAGGGTATGGTTTTTGCACTCTAGTCTTGAATTGGTTATGTTTTTTAGACGAAGCTACTTTTTCATCATTATCGATAAGACCAACAACAAAAGCCCTTTATAAACTATGTTTAGGGCAACTGTGCTAGCCGCAACAGTCATAAATAGGGAATCCAGTTTTTTGTCAGGTCATAAATAGGGTAGGGAAAATCGCAGATTTTGGTCGTAAATAGGGTAAGGGTTATGAGAAGCGAGCCGCACACCCAAACCCAATTTTTCTGGGAGTACCCCCCTTCCCCGGGGTGCAAAGGAGAAAACTTGCTACGATTACTGTAACCTCAATCTTACTCCCCTGAAGACGAGCCCAAAGATTGTCTGCGTAGGAGGCTAGGATTACTGTAGATATATGCATTGTAAAATAGAGAGATTTTAGCCATGTAGATGATATCTTTACCTGACGGATTCTTCGTCATAAACATGATCCCTGTTTTCTGCCATGACTGGTAAAAACAACAAACAAACGCGCGGTCAAAAACGTGACCATAGCACAATCTGGTAACCGCGGGCAAGAGGATGTATCTCCTACCTTGACTTTGGTTAACACCTAAACCATGCCTGATTCACAGGGTAGTTTAGAAGCTTTTATACTATTGCCTCCTTCAAATTTCTATTGGCTTGCGTGGCCGACACATACCGATAACCAAGGTATGAGTTGCAACCTCGTTCCCAGGGCCTCGTATCTTACCGCCCCCTGGAGCGAAACATAGTTCTGAAGTTCTTTTTTCGACAAACGGGGGAAGGAAAAAGGAGAAAGAAGAACGTGTTCGCCAGTAACAAAAACTCTTGATTGGTTCATTGGTTCTAAATAGGTTCGCTTTACGCCACTCAGTCGATTTAAGGGGAGGAGCGCCTTTCTCGAAAAGCGGCTAGCCTGCGAGCGGCGAAGAGCAAAGCGATCTGGCGGGAAGTATTCTGGTGAAGAGGCGCCAAATCACTTTCTCGTCTCGCGGCCTCGCCGCTCGATTTCCCGCACGCGGCTACGCCGCGCGCACTTGTGCTCGTGCTCCAACGTGAGCCTGCTTGCACGCTAAAAAGAGACCAGTAATCGGGCTTAAAGTCATGTCGTAAATTAATTTTTTAAAAAGTAGTTAATAAATAGCATTTAATAATTAATCTAGTTATTCCTTTTTGGGAGGGTGGCCCATAGTGACGTAGCCCATGGGCAAGCTCAAGGGCCTGGGCCCAGGTTTTATCCACACGTTCATTCCTTCATTGTGACTTCATTCCTGAGCCGGGATAACTCAGTTGTGGTTCGTCTTCAAGTAAGATGGGTGCTGCAACGAGCCGCTTTAAAAGAAAGCACTCTTCATTCAGGAAAAGTGTTCACAAAGAGGAAGAGGCAGCTGCGCCGAAAATTGTCCTCTTCACTGGCTACTCTCACAAAATGAATCTGGCGTTTGCTTTGCCCTTCGCTGAAGACCCGCTTTCCAAATTTAAAGTGTTAGTTACGATGCCTTCTCTTTCAAGCAGTGAGTATTTAGCGGACTCCAGGGTTTTAAACCTGTTAAATAAGACGTTGTTTGTCCTTCAAATGGATATTGAATCGGACGAGTCTATCAACGGCGTCCTTCGAGAGATCATGGAAAATGATGGATTTATCGATGCTGTTGGTGAGTTGAGTTGTATAGATTATAAGTTGTGTAACATGCAAATGTAAGGACCTTGTTGTGATAATTTTTCTGTCACCTATACCTATAAATCATAGGTAACTGTGTCACCAGTTTTGTATTGTACAACACATTTGTTGTGTACACTGAAAAGGTTAGAAAAGTGGTTTAATTACGTGACTGCCTGGAGCTCACCGGTTGCCAAACTTGCCATCAGTTAACTGTCTTATCTCATGCAAACGCTTCAAACAAAATTTTAAACTCACTGAAGGTGTATTTCTACTAATTTTCACAGTTTTTTATACTCCCCTTTCGTTATTCAATATGTTTTTAAAAACATCTGGGGTATTCACTCATGTCCAATCAAAGAATAACATTCTTAAGTTTCCGGTTCAACAACTGTTTCACGCCTTTCCTGATTGCTGGCGAGTCTGTTGTCAATCCAACAGCCTCACCCTCCAGAAAAAGGCAACGAGAAAACTTCAAGTTCACTCGCTTGACTGTGGTAAGAAAAATGAATAAACATTTGTACTTATGTTAAATGTAAGCAAACAAACATATCTACAATTTCGTTCAAGAGTATCCTGGTCTCTAGAGTCAATTAATTGACCACAAATTTAAAGGTCACATCATGTAGACTATCTTCTTACATCATGCTGTCACGCTATTCCTATAAGCGTCATGACGTTAAGCACTGAATTCGCCAAGAAACATGATGCCTAACCCAGACGAGGATATCGCGATATATTTCATGTGAAAATAATATAACTAGTAGTTCCATAGTGGAAGTGAAGTGCTGCCCCATGTAGAAAGATGGTGGGGATGAGACGTGAAGATATCACATTGTGTTGGAGATCGTTGGGAAAATATAGTAAATTAATGTCATAGAAATAAGCAAGTTTGAAATTGATTTCTATTGTATTTTTTATTTAAGCCTTGTTTTTTTTTCTTAAGGCATGAGTTTTTACAGCTTCGCACTCCCTTATTTTTCAAGAGATTATTATCTAACAGACCCAAACGGGCAAAGGTAATATTTAACTCAACGATTTATTTTTACTGGTACATTTGATTTTTTTTTTTTTTTTTTTTGCTCTTTGTAGATTTGTACTACTTACAATAAATTCTGTTAAAAAAAATTGTCAATAAGATAATTCTTCTTCTGACAAACTACTATCGAAACGTGATAGATATTTTAGTTGAAACAGTCATGTAACATGAACAGTAACAAACTGTATATTGACAAAAAATGACACTGTAGATATCTACTACTTGCAATTAATGCTGACGAAATAATTTTCGATAATAAAAAATTATAATTCTTTAGGGTTACACATCGTTTAAAACTCCCGTACAAACTCTGTATTTATTCATTCCCGTAAGCGGATATTCCCGCAAGCGACCTTGGACACTTGGAGGCCTTACGATTTAGACTTTGTTTTTAAGCTCCCGTAAGCGGACACCCGAAAGTAAATTCCATGAATATCGCATAGTATTGCAGTTGTACTGCAGTTAGAATCTGTATATCGCATAGTTCGACAGTTATCACTATACAGTGATCGCCATTATCAAAAGCAATAAAGAAACATTTAAAACGGTGGTTTTTTTTTGCTTTCCCAATGTTTATTTTTAGTTGGGCAAGCTCTTAGAAGCGGCCATATACACCTTACAACTCTAGTGGCCGCTTACGAGAGCCATTCTCGTAAGCGGCCAGCTCCAGGTACGGACAGCTTTTTCGCGTCCCGAAGGTGTCCGCTTACGAGAGCTTCCACTGTGTTAAAATGTCCGGTTAACTGTCAAACTCAAAAATTAGTCAGTATAGGTAATCGTATAAGTCCTACTGCAATTAAGGATTTTACACCTCTAGGAGTGATATCACCAGTAGTGAAAATCCTTAATTTAAAGAGATTTCTTACGATTTCTCAATTGTTATATGACGGACAAAACTGCTAACCTGTATTGCAATGCAAATTTAAAAATAGGTCCGCATTGCGTACACGTGTGTGTTTCGCGTCCTATTGCGTTGTTCAGGGAAGGAGGTGCTTATTGGAAACGGGCTTTTTTATCAGGATAGGATGCTGATTTCATTTGTTAGTTCGGTTAGTCGTTTGCTTGGTTAGTTACTTTATCTGAAATATTTTAATTGCCCAAAACAAATCATGGTGCTCGTTGAAGATCATTATTAGTTAACTGAGTTTAGGTGAGTTTTGAGTTTAGGACGAAAGTCTATTGTCAAGTGGACGTATTGGAATCAGTGGTGAGGTGTTGAAAAAAAGGGTTCTGTTGTATAAGGTCACAGAACACTTTTTGTTGACAGTATTTGAACAGCATCGCTTGGATTGATTTACACATTCTGAATTGAGGAGGGAAATTTATTGTGAGTGTTCATCGCCTAATCGAAATTGAGGAGCGTTGCCTGACGTGTTTTAGTAGTCTCCTTTATGCGGCTTAGTCAGCGCCGCTGTTACACTACTCAGCGCCGATAGAGTTCTTGCAAAGTTGCGCG